CGATGAGAAAAGAAGTTGGGAGAGAACGCCTGCAAATCGAGATGTTGTGCATGAATGCTGAATTTTCTCTTCAACCTACTCTATATTTTTTTATTTATCTTTTTCTTCATTCCACGAAAATGGCAACCAGCCGTGCAACAAAAGAATCTGCTTCATGGCGCTCACCCTTATCCCTTCAGTTGCAAATAAGCTATGATGAGTTTTGGAGTACCACCAACTTAGGCAAGAAAAGGATGGCTAGAGAAATTCGAAGCAGTCACATATGCATACAAGCAACTATACAGGAAATAAAGCAGAGGGGTGGATCGTGACGCGAAACCTCACCCTGGCCATTTTCGCCTCTTTCAGACTTCACTCCAATTCCTCTTAGGCTGTCAGTGAGGTTACCCTTCGCCTTACACCATGCTCTGTATCTAACCCAGGACCCTACCAGATTTCTTTGACTAAACTAAGGGTGAAAGGTAAACTTGAACTTTCCATCTTTTCTGACACAATATCCCTACCATGCATTAATAATATTCACATTCGTCTGGAAGATTCAAAGCAATGCATTGTGCTTTATGTGGCTCATTCTAAAGGCGAATCGTCGCACCATCGATATTGAAACCGACTCTGAACAAATACGAGCATGCGTATGAGCATTTCAAAAAAAACTGCTCTTACTTAGCCGATTTCAACGACAGATGCTGACTCTTGGGCAGGGGGAGGGGGGGTGTCGGTTATTTGGTACCTTCTACTGGTACCCACTCATCCATCCTCTGAAATCAATTGATAAATTATCTGTCACTGTTTGCAGCACATCCTTTCTAACATGTTTCCTCCTTACCTATTCCCCTTCAGCTTCATTACAACCTGTCATAATCAAATTTCATTACACCTTGATTACTGAACATTCACCGAACGTGTACTATAATGTAATAATACTAGTAATGAACTCATGGTTGTTTCACTCCCATGAAACATTCTGATCTTCGAAGCATAACCAATCATTGTACAGCACAAGTAGAAAACCATCGCCCATGAGTTCCTTATCTTCGAGGAAATTTTTGAACAGTTCGAACGCATAAAAGCCAATGAAAAACATGGCTGCAATCGGAACGCACTGGGTAAGCAGGTGCTCCCACTAACCTACTAATCAGAACTTCAGGCACAGAGGAGGCTTGTGGGCCTGCGAAACAAGGAGAATAATCACAAATTCAAACTCTGTTTAGACGATACCCTGGAGTGACCGTTCTCCTAAAACAGCTGTCGACAATGAATGGAGGTCTCCGATCACGACGGCAATCTATCCGGATGTCAGCTGTCACACTTGTGAAACAATTGATAGGCATCGCGTCAAGCCCATAGAGAAATCGAGATAAATAGCTCTCAAAGACTGCAGAACCAGAGATTTTCGGTAAGTACATCGTTACGAGCAGAACAAAGGGCCCATCAGACTCATGTACATCTGTTCGCATTTAACCCAAAAGCTCAAACTGGTGATCGCAACGATGCAAAGGTTTACAATTTCCGGTGGTTCAATGGCACCAAAGCTTACCTACAATTCTGAGACTCTCCTACCTACACAAAACGTTCGACTATTTTTCCCGGACCTATAACCAATGCCGTTGTCCACCCCCGTCATACCAGATCAGCACGACCAAAGCCTCGGCTCCTAAAACACATTGGCGGGCTTCTCGGCACAGACCCGAGGTGATACATGAAAAAGGATAAATGTTTGGAACGAGTAGATGGTGAAGATCTCAGTGAGCAGTTGTGAGGGAGGTTTCGGAACGATTTTACATTTTTCATGATAGTTATGAAGCAATTCGATAAAGAGGAAAAATGCACTGATGTGCCGACGGATAGCAGATGACAAATGTTGTTAATGGGAAGAAATCACTGCCAAGGAATGTGATAGAGACGCAATGAGGGTAAAAATTTTTATGGTCAGATGGAAATGGTGGATTTGAGATAAAGCAGTAGCTCGAGAACTTGAAAATCGGCGCCCGTAGAACGCTGTCAGTGGAATCTTTACCTCAAATGGAATTGGCACATTAACTTGAACGATGCGTTGAATTTTGTGCATCGCCTACGTACCATAGCTGCACGGAACGTCATAACAAAGTGTGAAAGGCAATTGAAAGCAGTAACTAAACAACGATAGATTTTCTGGTCGTCACTACCATTCAACATTCTCTTGCCTTATTCACTGGGTCAAGAACGACTCCTGTCCCGAGGTGTCTAGTTAACTTACTGCACTAATAACACAATTAAATAGCCTAATGCTTTTTCACAACAAATCGGCAGATCAACGATTTTCGCTTAGAGCGTTTGAGGCCATGAAGACTTTGGTGTATGGGAACTTCTGCACGATTGAGATCACTTCAAACCTCAGCGAGAAACGGTCACAATTAGGTGTGAAAACTACCGATATGCAGCAAGTCAAAGGTTATTGAATGAAGGGAATAACAACAGTAAGAAGATAAAGCTTCTACAGAAGTCAACTTTCTCAAGAGAAAAATTTACTATAACTTCTTAGCTTTTAATTCTATAAAAATGAAAAATTCTAGTAAGACTGAGGTTGATGGCTCTGTAAAAATGAGCCAATATTTAGCTTCGAACTACATTTTACATTTCACCTATACACAAAAATTAAATCCTCAACCAACATTACTGTAATTTGTCCAGTCCAAAGCATACTTTTTTCTCAAAATGCTTCACTTCCTCACTGCGTTATGCAGACAGCATAAGAATTGTGGAGCCTACACACCTAATTGAGAACAGATCGCATCGAGGTGACCTCAACCGTACGGTTCGCACATCCATGGCAATGAAACGTGGCTATTGCCACAGAATCTTTCCGGATATAAAGGTTGGTCTTGTTCAGAGGAAGAGTGTGCGCCATAGCAACGGAAGACATGGATATTTGGGTTGCGATAATGCAGTGGCTAAATGCCTCCTGATTGCTTCAATGGGAGCTTTGTAATCAATGGTGATTGAGCAGTGATTGAATCTCATCTATATAAAAACTCTCTAAAAAGTATAATACACTCGAAAGCAGTGGTGACGGAACAGCAGTCGGTGGGCTGGGAGTCGCTGGGAGCCGCTCGTTAGTCAATCGTACATCCATAAGGTCCATCAAACCATTTTCTCCATCATCCCAAATTGTGTTTATGCCCCCACGTAGAGCTGCCTCAGCAAACAATCATTGGAAAGAAAGAATTCCAGTCTGTGAGTGCTCAGGATATTTGTCTAGTGAGCTTAACCTTGAATTTTGTGCTTATCTTTGCAAACAGATGTTTTGTGTTATAGTATTTCAGAGAACAAAAAGTGAGGCAGACAGGTGGAGAGGCTAGTTCCATTAGCACGAAGGAGTCTCCAAGAGATGAATCAGAGACAAGGCTCAGCCCCCTGTCGCGAAAATACAGAGATCCCGATTGTTCCGGAGGTAGACCTGGCTGCTCGAGCTGAATTTACTTTTCCACAGTAAATACCAGACGTGGTTGAACTGTCATTGTAGAATAGTGCCACACCACTGTCCCAGCACACCTTGCCACGCAGTATTCATTACTAATCTCCTCATTTGTTTTCCACGCAACGGATGATCCCTGGAGCCTATTTCCACTATGGACGTCAACTACTTACGAGGAACGATCGCATTTCTCCTGCACACTAAATATTTCCAGGCAAGTGAATAAGACAGCTCTCTCGATCCCGTTTCGAACTGCTACGAGAACCAGCTCTTTTCGAAGTTTCTTCCTGCAGTGACAACAAAAACATCGAGCACAATAACGTAGAAGAAAACGAAGACGAAGTCAGCACTCTGACTCATCTTTACCAACTACGAAACCATTTCTTTACGCACATAAAATTATGCGCTTCAGATGGGGTGACTGCAGAAAGAAACTTCTTCCGACGAGCTATCGGCTCTAAACAAGATAATCGTTTCTGAGAGACATTGCACTCGCCAGATTATTCGAACGCCGCTGTAGAGAAGAAATCTCAGAAATATTCAACAGCTCAAGTGCTTTCTCTTAGCTGAGCAACAGTTGTCAGACCACATGAACTTTGGCAAGTGGACAAATGTTATAAAAGTTTGGTTGCAGTGTTTTACCACATATCTGGCATAGGCCGGAATGAGCACCGTCAGATTACCACCTGTCCAGGCCTATGAAAATTACGATGAAAGAAAATCGCTTTAGCCTTCTAGAGGACTGCAAACAGCCGCAGCAGGAGTTTTTGGGCTTCAACCACGGACCTTTCTAGGACTAGGATGTAATGAGATTTTCAGAAAGATTGTGAATTAGAATTATTACATTTTAAAATATGAAAAAAAGAAAGTGACAAATGGGAAGTTACTTTAGAAGATTAATAGTAAAACCAAGAAGCACATTACAAGTCCATAGTGGAATGCGCCATGGGCTCATTCAAGAGCTGGTAGTTAAGGCAGAAGGAGAGCAAGTGAAACGAATCAGGCCCTTACGCAACAAGGCCCTTTAAGATTGATGAGAACGAAACCATAAATCGCAAAACGAAGAAAAACTTTGGTCAACATTTTCGACGGCATTGTTCTCCATATATTGAAAATGAATTTGTGAAGCATTGGCAAAAAGCGAATGATATCGGAAAGAGGTGTTCTCGCGAACGAGCCATATCCGTGTGTACGAGCGCAGATGCTTTCCTTGGCATACTAGCATGTCACTCGTAGGCAAACTCATACAAATAAACAAAACATGGAAGTCAATTGATTCCAAAAGGTGAGCTCTTTAGTTTCTCGAAACGAGAAAGAGTAAGAAACTGCGATAGACTCATTACAATTCAAAAAGCGGAAAATCAAAAGTAGTTAATAAACCGTTAATGTGAAAAGCCTAACTGACTGGCAATTCCTGGCCACATAACTGATTTAAAATTGGCTCAATCAGTTGTATTAGCAGCATGCCCGAGAAACTGTTCAAACAACAACCACGGTGAAAAAAATAGAAAACAAAAAAAGGAAATGAAAACAGACTAGAAACTACTCACCTAGGGAAGCCAATTCGATGCTCTCTCGCCTTTTGCTCATTCGACGCCGTCTGCAATCTTCACTAGATACAAAACCCATGCTCATCCACAGCGAGGAACGATGTGTACTTGGCGCCGGTGTCGGCCCCAGATCTTCCGTCGACATAATACCACCACTTTGCGCAACGCTCTGAAGCTGCTACTTCTGCTGACACTACTGCGACTACTTCAGTCCTCAGGAACGAACTTAGTGAATGAGTGACGACGAAGTCGAAAGGAGGCGGAGGCAAAACTGATCAATAGAACCTCAAGCCCCGGTTAGACACACATTCAGCCGCCTCTCGCGCGCCGTCGAGCAGGAACGTTGCCAGCTGGGGATGCTGCTGCTGTTGGCTATGGCCGCCCATATCGATCGTCAGTTGACAAATCGCCAAACCACGCCTATATTGTAGTTTAGATAGACGCTTCTTAGCAACAGATCTAGCTCAAGATTCGATTTACCTATTCAAAGGGACCTTTGGCAGCCACAGTGCAGCTTCGACAACTCCCCACTGATTCTAGTGATCGCTGTTCTACGCGACAGCCAGAGTAATCAAAATTTGGGTGATAAAACAAAAACAACCAGCTGCGTCAGTAGCATAGTAGGGTAGGAATTGAAGTTCAAGCTGCTGATAGCAAAGTAGCAACAAAAGATATGGTAGAGACTATTTGAATGTGAAAAATGTCTTTTCAACAGCTGCACAAGCCACATGTACACCTGCAGGCTGGATGGGATGAATTTGGTTCAAAAATGGGACCATGCAAACAAATAGAACAAGGTCAGCAAAAAGGATGTGAGGTGTTGGACAGTGCAGAGAAGTCACGAGATTCTGCCTGACCTCCTTTAAATTTTTCATTGCGATTTATCTTGTTACCCTTCCCTAGCTAGGAATTTGAAACGAGTGGCAGTTATTGTTATGATCGGAAGACTTAGTTTACAAAAGAATATACAAGATCTATGAAGACAAAGCTGGAATCGAAACTTCTCACCGAAGAAAATGAATGGTGCCGGCGAAGCCTAGATGTAGAGAAAATGCTCGGCGACCAGCAGTTGGCCTGCTCTGATTCAGCATCACAAAGTGCGGATAAAAACAAAGGCAACAGCTAACCTCCACGCCTCCTTCAGATTCGCACTTGTTTTAGGAAAAATTCCATTGTTACGCACGATCTCCCAGCAATAATGCGAGAGATATTGGGCGACCAATTCATCGTCTGTGTTTGTTATTATGCATACCCTCCGTGTCAAAGAGCATAAGCGTCAACCGTTAGGCATTTCTCGCGAGTTGACCCTAACTGACAGACTCCAGAGCAGCTGTTCGTAGCGGCTATATCGATGCAATAAGTCTCGCAAATTGCACCTCCTCGGGGCGCCATCCTCATCCACTTAACTCGGCGAAGCCAGCTTCTGGGAATCGTTATGTTCCGATTTGACGAAGCGCCATCTTCACCCTTAGGATACTCTACCTGCTTATGTGTCTCCCTCGAACCTCGAACATCACTGATATGTAACCACCTGGATATTAACCTCACAGAGGAATCTTCTAAAGCGAATTACTGTTCACGCCATAGAACTTTATGGGATGAGCCTTAGTTTCGACTAACAATAAGTGTTTGGAAGACTTAAATGGGTAATCCGATCAATTATCGAAGTTCCTTGAACTTGATATTAAAATGTTTAGTCAAATAAGCTCGACCTTTCTACCACCTTTTTTCGGAGTGGGGTAATGACTAAACGGCCTATAAATGGTAAGCATCCCTGAGCAGCGTGATACGGTTCTCTGATCGCGCATAAAATCACTTTTTTGGCAAAAGGGGAATGACCCATTAAAGCCAAAAATGGAAACAAATTTTATGGCTTGATTGGAGCAACATCATTTCCGATATTTTCACAAAGATCTGTGTGAATCAATCTTACTTCTCACTACCTGCGTCAGAAAGCTATATAATTCAAGGTTCCCTATACAAAAAGAAAACAATCTACGACGTTTTCGGTAAAACACGTGCCCGCATATCTGACGCCGACAGGACTAGATTGGAGCCCCTATCCGTGCACATATTTCCGGACCAAATCTCCTATGAGGGCAGACCCCTATCCATGCATCGAGATGCTCACATGTCAATAGGTTCTTAATATGAACTCCTTTTATCCCTAAAACTAACTCTTTCACATAGACAATGTTCACAATTCCTTCACAACCCGGGTGAAGGAATTTAGAAGGGAACATTGACAGAATGAAACAAAACAGACGGAATCAACATTAACATTAACATCGACAAAAACGATTTCAACACGCACTCATAACTCAGTACTTTTGCTTACAAATTGTATCACGGACTCCATCGCTGCAAGCAGGGGAATCAGCATTGACACCCAAAAATAATAGATGCGGAAGTCAAACCATCAAAAGCAACAATAACCTCTAGCGTGCCCAGATAGTTTCATTCAACTTAGAGTGGTATTATGTCGACGGAACCTGTGATCATAACTTGAAATGTAAAACTCCGGTAAGGAACATAAGAAGAACTTGCCCAGACATCTTTGTAGAGCTACGTCTAGAAAAACGATCCATCATCAGATATAGTTTGAGTGGAAATACGGATTGTTCCCAACGCTCATCTGTCGGTTGCTTTCAGTCGAAAAACACTCCCCTTGCTGAACACGGTTGCCAACGTCTGAAAATAAAAATAAATAGTCCTGAAGGCGGATATTGGTTCGTGGCCGAACAACAGAAGATCACAGAACGAAAACATCAGTAATAAACGTCTTGAAGAAATGTGCCGAAGTTCCAATTAATGAGGTAATGAGACACTCAGAGCGGTTTAGGAAAACGATTGAAATACATCATTGCACCTTTCAAGTCAGGCAATACTAGAGTGAGTAAGAGACTAGTAGAGTAGAATCATTTGAAATAAACCAATGTCGTTACTATGTAGTCTTCCGATCTTACCAGCTTTGTTGCCATCTGATCAGTATTGATCGCGATTCGATCAATGGAGCAGCTTATACTGATGCTGAGAATGAGTTGGAATTAAAAACGTGCAGATGATTGATCCATAAGGGCACCAACGGAAACACAAAAGGAAAGTAACTTCAATGAAGGTGGAGTAAACGCATATTCAGAATCGTTGGTGGTAGTTCCATGTGAACTGCTTTTCAACAATAAAGTCAACGTCATGAAAATAGCTTTAGATGCTGTCGGAAAACGACGGAATCTGCCGGAAAAGAATGGATTCACTTTCGAACAAAGCATTTAAAACTCTCAAAGTTGCTAAAAACGAACGATCAAAGCTTAAAAACAGCTTGCAGCAAACACGATACGCGAGCAGCAACCCAACACTGACGAAATTTACACTAAAAACACATGTCTGAGACAAATATTGGAAGAGCCTTTACCCCTAAGTGCAATCACTCATGGGTAAAGACTAGAAAATCTGAACATTACATATACATCTATTTGTATATATAAACATTGGGAGAGAGAGAGACCTTGGAGACAGAAATACTTGAAGGTTTTTTAGTACATTATGTCTAGCAAATTGAGTAGACCTCTCCAGTTTCTTTATTGGAAGATCGCTCAAGCAGAAAAATATAAGCTTGAACGGATGCTTACCATTCCATATTGCCATGAACGTCATTGGAAAAAAGACCAGAGAAGAGAGTAGAAAAAAGAACTCATGAGAAAAAGCTTGCCAGTTTCCATAAATAAATAACCAAAACTTGCCAAGATATATTCAGGGTCTACAAATGAAAAACCACACAAATCAATCCTCGATGAAAAAAGAAGCAATTGATCAGCGGTTTACTACAAAGCTAGCGACTTGTAAGTGCCTTCAGCAGATGCAAAAAGCGCTTGTGAACGAGGAAGTGCGCTGAAAATGAAGGACAGGAAGTTTTTGAAAGAATACAAGGGGCTTTGAATCTGTGGAAAACAATCTGCGAGGGCAACTACGCGATGCAGAAGTATGCATACGGTTTGGACAGTCACATAAGATTCAAGAACCTTAATCATTACCGATTACAAACGAATCCACTTAAAACCGCAGTGAAAATAAAGAATATTCATAAAACGATTTGACTTTATTAGGAAAAAATGCCTACTGAACGCGTAACAGAAGGAGATGAAAAAATAAAAAGTCAGTGAACTCCGTAGTCGGTCTTCTGAAAGCTTAAAAACAGGTTAGACAGCATTGAGTGGAGTATAGCCTTTTCAAGAGATCGACTTTTCTATACTATTACTGCATAGAGGTCCTTTAAAGTAGTAGAGAAAATATACGAAGAAATAGAAAGGTCTGATATTTTTAAGAGATCTTACTCTCGTTTCTACAAGATGTAACTCTCAACGCTTTATCAGGTTTGACGAAGTTCATTAGAGAGGAGCAAATCGCATCCAAATTGAGGTGTTTTGCATGAAGATGTCAAAATTCGTAACGAACAAGACCATCTGAGATGTTTAATTACTATTTTTAACATACTTCTTATTAGAAAAATTAGGCTTCTTAAGATTTTACTGGAATTTTTTGTTGAAATTTCTACCATCTTGCATGGTAACGAAACTTTTAAAACCGAAGACCATGAAAATTTTACGTTAAAAAGTACTTTTCTTGAATTTCATTTTCTAAATATTCTCATCATTGCCATCACTCTCATAAGTAAGTTGAGGTTAGTCACGATCAAGGGGAGGCGCGTAATTAAGATGAGGTCAGTCACGATTGAGGTCACTTCGCACCTCGGCGCGAAGTAATGTCATTCGAGACTAACGTCCCACACCCGGTGACACCGCAGTCCAAGGAAGAAGCGTGCTTCGCTGAAGAAGTTGACGGACATGATGTTCTTGAGCTTGACTCTCGATAATGGCTTGCCCTCTGCTCACTTTTATCCTTTGCTCCCCTTTCCTTCTTCCCTACCTCTGCCTCTTTGAAGTCAGATCGCCTGAAGCCGCCCTTATAGTCAGCTTCTGCAAACAGCGTTCGCGATTAGCGACGCATGCGTCACGTGGTCAGTGGTCGATACCGTGATGTGTTGATTTCCGTAAGCACCTTGAAAAGTTAGGGGACGAGTTTTGCAAGACATCTACCTGATTTTGTACCGTAATATTATGGTCTTTGTGAGTTGTTCGCTGGAAGATTTAGACTCTGTAGCTTGGCTACGGAGTCTTGGTCTCCTGGCTTGCCCTTGATGCTTGGCTTGGCTTTCCTCTCGGTACTTCTACATTTTTGCACATTCATTGTTACTGGAAGTTAGATTAGCAGTATACCTAACGAAATATTCTGACATGGGAGACACAATGCAATGTAAAGTGGTGGGTGATCTCCTGTACAAAAGCAGTCGTCTTGGAACGGATACTTTTTCGTGAGTAGGACTGGTCCATTTCGTTCCGCATGCTAGATGAGTCATGTTTCATAAACAAAGCAGAGTAAGCAAGACGCAAAGCTAGAAACTTGCGCTGTACTTCGTGATGCCCAGTCCCAAACTTGTTATAGGACTAGAAAGATGATCGTGCTTCACCCACGATTTCTCTTACCAAACTTCGACGGTAAAATGAAAAGAACCTCAAGGTTTATAAGGATGTAGCAGCATAACAATCAAAACTCTGCAATGAGTTCAAGCGCTGAAGAATGCAAGCGAAGATGAAGTGAATATGCAGCAGAAACAAATAAACTGGATTCAAATGAGAGAACTATGGAAAACAATGCCAAGGTTATCAAAACAAGCCGCTCTTCGATCAAGCCTACGACTTATACTGCACTAATTGACATTCTCAGCTGGAAGGCCATGAAGGCTTCTTCTGTACAGAATCAAGCGACAGATGACCATTGTAAACCCACAGATGGTAGGGTTTGCTAAAAACAGTTAGCAGTAAAAAAGGATGTAGATGTGTCGTAAAATAGTTGCCATGGGTGGATTCGAGGTCACAAGGAATGTATTGCTTCTTGTTCCTTTCGTAGAGTAAGTATGTTTCCCCAGTGATTCGCTTCGCTGAGTGGGCTCCCACCAAAACAAGGAAGTAGGAATGTGGGGTTGAGCCTTAGTCGTCAGTGGAAGTTGCACAAACTAAACAGTCACGGAGCAGAACCAGATAGCTGACGCGTAAATTCGTCCGTTACCCTGACACAGTATTGTTTTAAGCACGAGTGGTTTGAACGTGGCCGAAGCATTCTACTTCGCTTTCTGGCTTCGCCTTTCGTTTATTAACTAATTTAACGCCATCACACTGACTGCCTAGTGCTGAGCCGTCGGGGATCTTAAGAAACATCTCCAAGGTGCAGGTAGTGGGTCCGATCTCTGCTTTCGTCGGTGCCTTCTCACCGTGCGCATTCACAGTGCCAGCGTCCTGACGCCATCGTCGGCTTCTCCCGTCGATCGATATTTCGCGAGTGGAGCACTGATGGTGCAGCTGCGGGTGTATTGTGAACGGATAAAAAGAGAAGGTAATGGTGTGAGACTTTCGTTTTGCGATGGCAAAAGAGGGTAAAGTGTTTTCCAAATAAGGCATCCCACATGGTAAAAGAAAATCGTTTAGTTGGAGTAGTAAAAGAAGACATGCATTTGTGATGCACTTTCGCGTGGCACCTGTAACGTCTGTTGTCTCCCACACGAGCTTACTATTTTGATCGGCGCCGACTCGCCGGCTTCGCACTATAAATGCTGGACGTACGAGCTGGAGTGGCTCAAAGATAATTGAATCGATATAAGGCAAGACATTATCGATAACCGCACGCGTGGCTTATGCGTCGCGGCAGTGCCAATGGAACGAGGTGCTCCCAATCTTTAATTGTATCTCAAGACCACTCCAATCAAGAAATAGGGCTGGCTCCTCTTTTATGTCTTAATGATTCCTCCGGCCTGACATAACGCTATATACATGTTGGCCCGTAGCGACAAAAAATTTTCATAGTCCATTGGGAAGGGCACTTTCATCCGACAACAAAATAGAAACAAGCGATCCGTTTGTCACTAAGAAAGCCCACAATCAGCGGTTATTGTAACAATCGTACCAAAAGTAAAAAACATGGATGAAAAAAAGGTGCAAAGCCAAGGAAAGATTTAGGAGAAGGCTAAATTCAGTTATAATCACGTATAAACGGAAGGGGAGGTCCGATTGTTGTGAGCTATACAAGTTACCTCAATAAAACGATAGAATTTGCTCTGTCATGTCATTAATCATGTATTTAACGAAGGAGGCCTTCCACTCTGACAGATTCTCATATTCCTCGAGTTAACAATGAAAAGCAAAAAGAAAGACTAAGAGGACCAATTTTAAAAGAAACTTCCCATAGGCATAAGCGAAGAGGCGCCATCCGGGTGCATTTGAACCAGGTAGTCCTGACACGATCGCCCTTTAAGCTCCTGACATTCTGCCAGCCATCGACAACCCGCTATCGTTTCTTCGTTTGGGGCCAAATATCGCATTACTTCTGATGCTGTGTTGGTCGAAAGGGTAGTTACAATGTGGGAGAGGTCGTTACGATTAATCAACGAGAAAAGCGAGGGGGAAGGAGATGTGAGCCAATATCACTGTCAAACATAACATGGGTCCCCTCGCTGCTCCATTGTTCTCCGACTCATTTCACA